TACAAAATCAGCAGGGGGTCAAATACTTTTTTCCCTCACTGTACCTCGTTGAGCTATCGTTTGTGGCCAGGTAGGTTCTGCAAAAAGAAGCCTACACCTCAAGTGGCCTTTACCTGTGGACCGCAGGCTACATGCACCGACCACTAGGCCCGACATCACATTGTCGACATACGGTACTAGATGTGAAATGCACATAGTCCAGGAATCTGAGCGATCATCAGAATTTTTAATCAGTTACAACAACAGTATATTAAACATATATAATGCAAAGTACTTGAACAGAATTTTTTTTTTTACTTTTTAGTACATTTCATAAAAGCGTGTTGATAAAAAAAGTTTTTTTAAATATCTTTTATTCTGGCAACAAAACAGGTATTAAGATGTTCTCATTACTCTTGATAGTGCATTGTCTTTGGGCTGTATGTCTTTTGGCGTCCTCTGGTCTAACACCGTTTGAGACGAGGCTCAAAAGAAAGCTGTCTCTGGTGTGGACCAATCAGTTTCAAGGACAATGAATATATTATCAGAGGATATTTTCTGTTTGCATTCTGACCACAAGCATTGTGGTTAATGCAGACATGATTTCTTAGAAAATGTTTCAGTTTGGTGTTTTAACATCTTAACACCTGTTTTGTTGCCAGAAAAAAGGGGAAAAAACTATTATCATATTTTGGTACTGACAAAGGAGGTTACATCATGTAGATGCTCATACTGCTTAAGATGGAAATTGTCAAGGTCTCAATTATAAAGGCCAAAAAGTTATATTCTCTGCATTGCATAAAAGCAATGAAGAAATTGGTCATCTCCATTACCGGCCCTAAGCCAGTGATGGCATTCCTAATGTGTGGTCCAGTCTCCCCATAGGACCACCACTGTTGGCTTCCCTCAAAGTGGACATTATTAAACAGACCCTAGTGGAAGCATGGGCCCCGAGTGAACCCAAAATCTGGATACTTACTCGGGCCCTTCTAAATGCGAGCCGAGCACTAACAGGGCCAACTGGCCCTACTCGACGGTGAAAGGGATAGTGATTCTCAACAACTCCGAGCCTGATTCCAGGCAAATACACAGATTTAAATGAATACTCAATACCAAAGGAACTTACAAGTGTTTTTTTTCCGTAATTTATTTTTTTCTTCCGAATGATGTAACAAGTGGATACGTCTTGCCCAAATCTGCCCTACCATTAAAATCTTGCCAAAGACAAGTGTAAAATCTTGACATAAAGCTTCCATGACTGCAGGAATTCATATTCTTTGGGTCTTTCGGTAAAGCCACGTAGATAGAAAAAATAATTACAATACACGACGTTTCGATCGCAACACAAGCAATCGTCTTCAGGTGAAAAAAAGAGGGGGAAATCTGCCGAGGTAGGCTGTTTATAAGGGTTTAGAGATGGACGGGGCAGCTAATGTAAATTTAGGAGAGGTCTCACCTGCAGTAGGTCTACACCGATCAAAGAGCTTTTTACAAATGGTTTAGAGGTGGCCGAGGCAGCTAATGCCAATGTGGGGGAGGTACTACGGAGCTGTGAGGGGTGCCCATTGTATTGTGAGAGATTAGCATGTCACTGTAAGACAGCGCAGTGGCCACATGGAGCTGGAAAAGAATGGCAAGCCGCCATTTACTAACACAGCTAACAGTGGCTGTGTTAGTGAATGTATCTTGGAGAATCGAAAATAACTGCTAGGTAGGATAGGAACATCACAGCCAATTATGAGCTAAACTGGCTAATAACGTCCTTCCAATGAATGCTCAGTTTGTACCCATCTTCTCGGTTTAAATTGTGTCTGTGTTTATATATCTGAATAGCTTCATGAACGAATCTTTGTTGATAGCCAGTGGGTTTGCAGAGTACCTTCGTCTTGGCAAAATCAAGACGAAGGTACTCTGGCTTGTGTTGCGATCGAAATGGTGTGATATTGTTATTATATTGATTATTTTTTATATCTACGTGGCTTTACCGAAAGACCCAAAGACTAGTGTATTATTCAACTCCTTTTCACTTCCTTTATTTTTTAGCTTTGGGGTGTTTATTTTACTTAGTGGTGTGTTCATATTACTAGCCTGTGTGCTTTCATGAAGTTTTCAATGCATTTTTTTAATATTTAAAGTTGTATTTTCGTCTTTAGCTCTGGGTCCTGATGTCATCATATGCCACTTGTTAGACACTCGTGGGCCGGAATCTTTAGCCAGTCCTAATTCTTTAACGTGTCAAGTGCTTATGCTAAGCATCTTACCTAAGATTGTATTTAGTGACAGTGCCTCCCCATGCACAAACAGATCTTGACATCGTACTACTGTTGGTGGGGTGTGAAGGCACGCTGCCTGCGGGCCAATGACTAGGGAAAGAGTTGGTGGAGAATGCAGAGAAGATGACATGCCCAATCTATGGTCTGCAATCAAATGCTGCTGGCATTACATTGGTCTGGAAGTTCCACTGAGTGACATGTTTTAATTTATATTTCTGGAACATAACACAGGGTTTCCAGATATACTTATTGTTATTATCCTTTTAATTGCATTTCAAGGTGTTTCAGTACATTTTGTCTGACTGTGCTGTGTTGATGAACAAACAAAATAGCAATGTACACAAAAGCACTGCTCTTTGTCCACTGCTCAAGGTGGTTACTTTTTTTTGCTTGCTCTTCCTGCCACCGTTTTCGAGAAAATTCAAGTAACTGTAGTCGACTTTTTTTCTGACCAGGTGCACATGAAAGTTTTGCACTTTACTAAACTCTGTTTTTTGAAGGGATTGTCGGTCCTGTGTAACATTGTCAAGGTCAACATTTTCCACAGCGTGCGGATGCCATGGCAGGGAAGTCTACACAAAAATGCAAGCGCTTTCAAACATTGGACATTTATTTACAGCGCCTGGTTGTGAGGGGCTGCAACTTTACAGCATTACTGTATGAAGCTGCCTGCAATGGTGGATGCCAATTCAATGTATTTACCACAACAGGCACAGGACCTGTGAGACACTAAAAGGGAGAATGGCTGACTACAGCCTCGATAAGTCATCCTCTTCAGGTCTCTCCAAACCGGCCATTTAAGGACACGGGACTAAAACATGTGAAATGTGCATATTCCATATAGCAACGTGCATGTCAAGTCATTGTGTACCAAAGGCAATGCCACTGCCACCTTGCTTTAATGCTTCCAGCAACATTGAGGATATTTTGTGCACATTATTTAAAGGGAAGCTCTTTAAAAAACTATAAATGGACATATATGGCAATCGGACAGAGAAGCAGACTTATTTGATCTACTGCACTAGCTCTCAAGACACAAGCCCTACCTCTAATCATAATCGATTTATCCAATAATAGCCCCCCAGATACAAGCCCTACATATATTTCAAATAATTTTTTCAACCAAACACCGACTAACCCTACCCCTAACCTTAACTGAACCCTTCACCCCACCCATAGCACTTTCAGTGTTTATAGCACAAACGAATATATATAAAGACAATGTGTTTGAACAGGATGACAATATCCATTTCTGGATATTGGAATGTTAAACAGCATATTTTAACTCTGAAATATTGGCACCCAGCTGGATGAGAATGTATCAACATTTCCACTTTTCAAAGCCATATATCCCATTCATTATATGATACTGCATTGGAAGTGGTGCACAAGCACACTTTGTATTTGTAAACCTCACATTCATCAATAACACTGCCATCATAAAAAATATATAGTGACGTTTTGGGCAATGGCCCTTCTTCAGAACACATACAAATCATGTCCTATACTGAATAGGAGCACCCATACCAGTCGGGCACTGCAAGAAGCAAGAAAAAAATCTGCTCCCCTTTACGAACCCATAACAACCAGTGTGATGAAGTATGGTCAAACAACTCCTCCATGACCAAACTAAATCACAGCCTCCAGTCCCCATGAAATGTGGAGCCACTAGCATATAGTCCAACTCAATCTAAAGTAGTGGGGACACTTGGTGTGTGGGTCGCATCTTCCTTTTGAAATGCCTGCGGTGTGAATATCTTGAGATAAAGTGCGGTGGATATGCAATGGTGGTGTATGCCCAAATTTATATTTACTAAAGAGGTAAAGTTGCAAACACTTACTTTAGACCCTGAATTACATGCCCCCTCAGCCACCTTCACGGAATAAAAACCCATGGGCGAGTGCCGTGGCAGTTAACCTTTACTAAATTTTTTAAAAAATGTTCATAAATACATAGGTTTGATGAAACAAAGTGGTTGTACTTACGTGCCCGTGTTTTAATTCGTATTTTCGATCATTAACCTTGTAAAAAAATCTGGCGGTCTCGAACCGCCAAAAAGGGCACCTCGCACAGCCAGGGGATGCATGCACGCCAACGCTCAGAACCACTGGGTTAGTCGGTCTGATACAGGGAAACCTTTCACTGGGAACAATACAGTGCTCACAAAAGAATGCAAGTCCTGTTGAATCCAAGAACCCCAGATGTTGCTTGCTCCTAAAACCTAAAGCTCGGCCCACTATTATGCAAGTTGAAAGAAGCATTCCTAAGGAATATGATATGCATTTTAAGCGCCATGATTTTTTGTTCAACTAAAAACTACACACGTCTGTTGGTTAGGCTCCAGTCAATAGAAACTCTGCTCCAGTCCACAAAAAAAACGTTCAACAAATTAAGAAAAAATAATGGGCAACTAAGCACACAATTAATAACAATAGTCCTCTACCAAACAATGAACTCATCTTTTCAAGAGAGAGGAGACCAAAGTACCAAGAGAGTACCGATGCATTTAAGGAGCTGGCCTTCAAAAATCCTTACAGGGAGGTGAGGCACCCACTGGCCATGCTTGATGACAATCATTATGGATGATGCCCACATCACAAATTTACTAAGTTAATTTAATCATGGGCAATAAATGGTAGATTACCAGTGACACCCACATCCCGAACAATAAAACATAAATGTCCCCCCTAAGCTAGCCTTGCCTCATGTTGAGAACTACTGTAGGTTGAGTATGACACAATGATTACCTGCATCAAAGGTTGGAGGCTTCATGTCACCCTGGTTGAGCTCCGTGCCATACTTTAGCTTGTGGTACTTCGCCCTGTGGGAAGAGTTCAAATGCACCGATGATTATGTGTAACACAACCGAGTCACCAACACCACAAAGCACCTCTACACCAAGCAAAGCATAATCGCATTCCGCTTTACTCCCTGGGCCCTCTGCTAATTAGCATCCACTCAAACGTTCGCTCTATCTCCTCAGCTGCCACAGTCTAGAACTCCCTCCTGCAGACTATCAATTCCTGGCTAGCTCCCTGTTTTGAAGTACAGACCTACAACATTGTTTCTGTTTTGCTTAGGATTTACTTTTTCTCTCCCTTGATCCTGACCCTATGTCATTGTATGGCAGTGTTTTTTTTCTCTTCTACTAGAATATTTCTTCACATACACAACTCTAGCCCATTCACAATGGCCTAATCAACCAAAAGTCTAACATCACTCCACTACTTTATAGTTGTGAGACTACATACTTTATAAAAATCCATATTGTATTGTAAAATATATTCCATGTACCATACAGGAAAACTGTGCCATTTTCGAGGACAATTCTAATTTTAATAATTATCCAGGAAAGGCTTATCAAGTTTAAACTTATTTTCAGAAGGGTTTTAATTTTCAAGGTTATGTCAATTTTGGACGTATTACGCTTGCGAGAGGAAGTTGAAGTACCCTCAGAAAACCCACCCATTTGAAAAACACTCAGCACAGACAGGTAAAGTATCTACTCGCAGTACTGTCCCTTAAAGGCACCACATTGCTGAGCATGAGGATAGCCCACACGATGGATCCTTTTGCATGTCATCCAACCAACTCTACCTGATATTCGCTGAATTGTAGTTGTTCACGATGGAAATGCCATGCACGAATGAGCTTCAGCATGTGGGGAAAAGTTAATACCCTTAAAATAAACACTTTAAAATTAACAAATTAAAGCAGTAACACTCGCTTAAGACGCCAACCTGCCAGTGTCAAGCCCATGGTATGCAATCGGTTGCTAGTGGTGGCATTTGGCCTTATTACATTTTTCCAGTTGAAGGCACAGTAGCCATGAAGTTTGTGTATTGAACACGGACCGAAAGACCTAAAGAGTACTTGATAGACCTTTAAAATAATATATATTTTTAAAAAATTTAAACACGATTTTATGAAATGTACTAAAAAGTTAAAAATGTTTTTTTTTTCTGTTCAAGTACTTTGCATTATATGTTTAATATACTGTTGTTGTAACTGACTAAAAATAAAAGCGTGGGGCATAACGTAAGGGACCGTGGGCAATTACAGCCAACGTTAGTTGACCGTGGACAATTAAACCCAAGCCGAAACATAACATATAAAAAATAATGTTTAAAAATATGTTTACGATAGAATATAGTATTGTCATCAGTATGACATGAGTACACCAAGTTTGCAGTCGATATCACATTGGGAAGTGGGTTAAATTGAGTTACAAGATTTGAGGATACAACAATGACAACAACAACAGAGTGAGTTAATAAAAAGCCCGTAAAAAAGTCCATTAAGCCAATTACTCAAGTAAAGATATTAAGGCTCCCTTTTCCTAATAAAATAAATGCCCCTAATTCACATTCTCCCTGTGTCCGACATATAAATGCTTTATACATCGAATCTGTGTCTATATTGCACTTTGGCATATCCCAGGCTGACGTGATATGCCACGCAGGTTCACACTTGTGAACGTTGATACAACACCAGTTTGTCAGTAAGAACATGCCAGGCGGCAGGGTGCGGGTCGGGTTACGTCTCTGTCGCTCACCAGTGAATACCCTCTCTCGGTGGGTGACGGCGGCGTCTACTACAACCCAGACAAATGACCCCAACGTGGCGCCGAGGTGGCATTTAATTCCAAAACCCTAAGGCAATGTTCCCGGAAACCGCCTATTCTGCACGCCAAGAGATGGAGTGGCCCCTCAACTAGTGCCATGCACGCGTAGTTACTACCACTTGGGCATACTTCTCCTGTTGGGTCACATTTATACTACATACTGTTTATGTGCATGGCTTGGAGAGCATCTTGACATCATGGGACCTAAAGCAGTTGTCCTGAGCAATGGTAAGGTCAAAAATATTGTTTTATTAACTTTGGCGTTCATAACTAAAAACAATTTATTGCAAACATAAAGCTTTAATTTCAGAACATTAAACGTTAAACTATTTACCAAAGTGTCATCACCCCACCAATAGTTGCCTAAATCAGCTTGCCCATTTTTATAACAGACAGCCCAAATGTTGATGTTCAATGGGTCGTTGCCACATAACCAGCCCGGCTGTACGCTAGTTAGCCCTGGTTCATCATAATGACAGAGCACTTTTGGCACAAAACAGAGCGACATTCTGAACAGTGCTCCCCCATTTAAAATAACCCTGGAGGTCTTGCGACTAGAGCCTGTAGTTCACCCACTCTCTATGGGGAGGGGGGTTCCCCTACACCTAAACTTATTATCACATTGATGCATATGTAACATTTGATCATTAGTCAAGTTCCCTGAGAGCTGGGCTCTGGAATAGTGTTTTAATGTCTATATATGGAGAGTGTCAGTGACCGTTGTATACAAATGTAGTTTTTTATTCGTGCTTCAAGCTTATATTAAATGAGAAAGTCAACGTAATGGGTGGCCTGGCAGCTCATGCACTGAATGCAAAGTCATTTGCCACTAAATTCTCTATGCAGACCTCCTTTCGAACCATTGGCCACTTTCTCAAACTGAATGCTGACCAATAGCTGGTATCCCATCGAGCCATAACCTCGGCAAGGCGGCAGGCATTTGTCAGGTGGTGATGGCACATGGCTGTAATCCAGCACTGTGGAGGAGGGTTGGTGGACAGCACAAATGTAGTTAAACTTCCTTCCCGTAAGCTTTGATGTACCATACCCTGACTTGCAAGATGGCAGTGCAGCAAGTGGACTAACTACAATTTGTTTCCATCTGTATGGGGAGAGTGCTGCTCCCTCACATGTGAAGAGAAGTCGGAGACTGGTTTAACACTTCTATATTCTTTAACCCACAGCCACACTCATTCCAAAACCAACCTCGAACACGCGTCTCACAGCCCCTTTAAAATCCTCCATCTCCGCCCTCGTTCCCAATACACATCCTCGTCTCGCACGCCTGGTCCAGGTGACGTCAGTGCCCTTTCACCCTTGACCCCCGTCTAATGCATTCCCGTACGTGTGATTGGTGCGTATTATACCGAGTGCTGAGATTTCATGTCTGCGTGGTGCGAGTGCGTGAGGGTGGCTCGCAGATTCCTTACACATGCATGGCTTTCCTCCAACTTGTATAAACGCGCAAATATTAGTTGAAAACATCTACATATATATAAAAGGGAAATTTGTGAATGTGTCTGTTCGAAATGTTTAGCATACTTCCCAACATGCAAACTTGAAATTTGGCATGTGGGTAGTTTCCAGACTGTACACAATGCAAAAAGTATAAAAATAGACTTTTGTATTTTGGTGGGGGGGGGGGGGCGCAATAATGGACGTCACATCTGTGATGTCACCCGCATGCAGCAGCGTTACGCAGTGTGCCTGCTGAAGTCACGCATCCTCCCCCCCACCCTCTGCGTAGGCCGTGTATTAATACAAGACAAGAATCCAAGTCTCGGGCGAAGCTGGGTAGTAAAGCTAGTCTTAAAATAAAACAAAATGCAGGACCCTTTTGAAAGTCCTGGATAAATACGTTTTTTCATATATATAGTGGCACAGCCACCATTTACAGTTAAGACTAATGAGACATCTGTTTTGAGGACTTTTCCCAAATTCGTCCCGAAGGTCTTATCAGACTTCCAAGTAATACCAGAAAATTAGCCTGCATTCTTTTTGTCGTGCAATTCTGAAAGAATGTGACATTCACTTGTTAGCATGTCCCATTCCAAGCTGATATGCCTGAAAGGACCCAGGTTGTAATCCAAAGGTGTGCTAGTCAATGTTGGAATAACTTTGTAAATGCACAAAACACAGATGTTGAACTAATTATAATAAGTGGTGAATATCAAGCCTATTTATAACCTTGTATGGTAAATAGCATGACATTGTGGCACAAGAGGGATCAATTGGTCAGACTTGAAACCCAAAAACAAAATTGTCTTCCCAAGAACGGGAAGCTGAATGGGAACACCATTAACACTGGACCCATTCTTATATGTGTGAGAGCTTTTCAGTAAGCTATGATGAAATTATCCCGCCAAGATAAGAGATTGGTCCAATACAACTGGGTGAACAATTGTAACTGAATGCACTCATTAGGGCGCCATGGGCAATAGATGAAGGGTGGAACAAGCAGCACGATTCACTGCGCACAGCCACCAATTCCAGAACAAGCTGGTTGTTTACCCACCGCCCACATGGCCATTCCACTCATTCCCTGCTCTCACTTTTTGTTATGTGCCCTATTTCTTTAAAGATGTGGTGTATTTTTTTTCAAAAGGTTCTAAAATTCCAGTTAGTATTGGTGATATCCAGCTGGGAAGCAGCTTGCAACCAAACATTTGAAAGCTTACATCTTTACATCTAAGCAACCGCCAAACACTGGTACATTAATCCCGGTCCATGATCAACTCAGCCTATCACACCTCCAGGGTCAAAACAACTAAATGAACACTCATTTTCAAAAGTCAATCGTGGCTGTCCAATGGGGAGATTAGCAGCTACCACTGGAATGTATAATTGCCATAATTGGCTCAGGTAATGTTGTTTAAAGGAAGCCATGTAAAAAAGCAATAAAGCAAATTGGTGTAGTGTGTCAGTTGTCTTTCCTTGTAGGCATCGGGCCTCCTCTGGGCACTCGACACATATAAAGTGAGACTCAGGCCTTCCTGAACCTTAGCCTAGCTCAGGAATTAATGCTGAACTACAAGAATCTTTAATTTGTCTTTGACTCGTAGGCATTCCTTCAAGTGGGACTAACATCCAGTGAATATGCAAATACACTGGCCTCTTCCAGCCTAGTTATTGCCTTGATGTACACTTTGGGGTTTTACTTTCAATGAGTGGAAACTCAACCATGGACCAATTAAAAA